ATTGTCTGGATTCAAAAATGTCGATACATTTTTCAAATGAAGTACAAACCAGCGGAAATTCCGTATCCCTTGAGGTATTTTATAAAAAATTTGAAGCCTAACTAAAAAAATGTTTTAATGAAAACATAGAAAGCAATGTTTCAGAAAAAGTATTAAGAATTTATAAAATGTTACGGTACACTCAAGATCTAAAATATATACCTATACATTTTAATTAAGCATAAATCTATGGTTCGTTATAAAAAATCCCATCTGTCGCACGATGGATTTACTGTGACAATTTGCAACGAAACCTAATATTTTAAAGTTTATCTAAAGCCCGCTAAAGGTATTTTTTCCCCTATTCATAACAATGCGAGTTTGCGATTATTTAAGATTTGCGAGCAATGCGATTTTCAACAAATATAAACGACGGAATTATATTGATAAAAATAAAAAAAATTTTCACCGTTGTTACTTATGAAATCTAATAACTTTCCGTAACTGTTATAATACCGTTATGAAAAGTAGAGTACCAATATTATTAGTAGAGTAGCTATTTCGGGTAATTTTAAGTTCATCAGCAAATCGATTTAAAATAAAATTTTCAATGTTGAACGTTTGTATTTTATCTCTACACGTCGACATAACGTGTAGTATAATACTCGCGATCAACAAACGATTGCGACCGTCACGTTATTTGTGGTCCTCGGTAGCTATTTTAAACGTTGTGGAATATACCGAACGAAATAAAAGCGACGCGGCCCGGTGTAATAAAATTAAATCGCGTAATTGTTTTTTAGTTTTTTTTATTATGTTTTTTTTTTTTTTTTTATATTTACGGTACGAGTGATCCGATATAATTATAACTACACGACGACGCTATAAACTATTTTCGAGTAGGCGGAACTACGTGGCGGAAACCAGAGGGGAAAAGCCCGACCGGCCAATGGATTCGATCGAGCAGATTCTGCGCACAGTACAACCGTCTTGTCTTCCGTGCTATATAGTAAATACCTAACATGTAATAGAGACTACTGGGAGCCTCGGAAACAGTTTTTTTTTTTTTTTGTTTTTCCGCCTTGGTACTAAAATATTATTATGTGATAATAACGTTCAATGTATAATGTATAATATAGTTGATTAGGTTGTTTAATGTACAAAATATATGTATGTTGTAAAGTGGACGATTAATCGTTATACAGAGCTCGAATCGGACAAATAAAAGAAAACTGACTGTTAAAAGATTGCGTGATTGAAATTGTTTTATCACAACAAAAATGCTCGAAAATTTAACAAGGGACTTTAGAATGTGTTGAAATTAATGGGAAAAAAATGTTTGAGCATTGTGTTGTAATTTTATTAATAGGCGTTTAAATTTTAATAAAAACGCAGTCTGGTAAAAATGTAAAATATGGGTATTTTTAATTTTTGAAAAAAACGTTTAAAGTAAAGCACCGGCAACCGGAATTTCCGCATTTTTTTAGGCACGGCATGAGAAAATCGGAGCGTATTTTTACTAACCGAAAAATTGTTTTCCGAGGGGAAAATAAACACATATTTGAAAACTAATCGGTTCTTTGCAACATTCAGAAGCTAAATTCGTACGGTTTTTTTTTACTACTGGGCGGAGTCGCGAGAAGTTACATTACGGCTAATGTATTTCTTTTTATAACTCCGATGCAAAAATTATCGAAACAGCAAACACAAGCGCCAATCTGTATAACATTGTATTGTATACAAGCTGCAACTATTCGAAAACGTTCAAAATGCTGCCAAAAACCGTAGGTACGATTAATCCGCCAGGCTGATAATACGTACCGTATTACTGCACGAAAAACGATATAGTCGACGAAACGATCAGAATACGATTTCTTATCAATATAATTTTACGCTTTTGCATCGAGACGAAAAATATAATAAAATTACTATCATAATATACGACTGTGGCGAATCCGGAGGGGGAACAGTCACCCCCTCACTTTTCACTCCTAAATACACTGAACTTGATACTCTGAGATTGGTTTGCACACCGTACAAGTGCGTGCCCCGGGCGATTATTCAAAATCCCATCCCCCTCCCCCAGTCATCTTATCCTGGACCCGCCCCTGATGTGTGGCCGCGTCGCTTACCATACCCTATCGTACAAAACACCTAAACGTGAAAACTTTATCTGACTCGCATGAGCAATGTGGTTATTGTCCCGCACTGTAATTACTGTAATATACTGTTTTAAACGCGCAACACTGTCGATAATGCAAGTGACAATCAAATTACAGCTTCTACGCATATATCGGCGCTATTACGGTTTATTATTTTTTTTTTTCTCGACATAATTATTACACTGCTTATTCTCGTTGTCACGGAATCGTCATCCCGCCCAACGAATGATATAAATCCCGATAAACGCGATTATTTGTATATTTTCGCCTCCATAACGCATTCGATTAACGCATTTTTCGAGTGAAAATAAATGTCGAATATTACGCTAGACACTAACATAAAATGTCAATGACTAATTATTTACCTACTCTAAATCAAAACCGACGGCGAATTATTATATTGTGTCGTCGACCGTTATGGAATTGCATCGGTCGGTTACACCGTTTATAATTCAAGAACGGCCGGATCGATTTTGAACAACGGGTCGGCATTCTCCGACTAATTTCTAATAATAATTAATCGCCGTTTATTTTTCAATCATCCCCGTCGCCGGGGTAACACAAATCGACAAGAGAAAATTGTATTTATTTTACTACAAGCTGAACTGTTTGGTGTTGCTCGTGTATACATGTACGCGAGTGGAAATACTGAAATCGCGATTAAAAAATAGTGGGCGGGGTCCGGAGGGTGAAAAATACTTTACGACCTACCGAATATACGGAAGAAATTCCGTTAAAATCGGGGTCGCGCCGTTTCGGAGGAGTGCGATCGCAAACACGCGACACGAGAATTTTACGTATAAGGCGTTTTTCGGCTTTTCTACGGACTTTTATAAATATAAATAAACAGAGCGTTTCTTACTGTATAATATTAATACGTGTCCATTGTTTCGAAGCTCGCCTGTATGCGCGCTCGCGCACGAAAAACACGCTGTAACGTATAAAAAAAAAAAAAAAAAAGGGGGGAAAAAATAATGTTACCTTTTTAAGTATACCGCGTATGCGATACGGCCACTCTGGGCCCGCCCCGCAGTACTCCCGAAACGATCGATTAACCACCGATATTAGTGTACACGCGCTGTATTATATTACGCGTGTGATTTATTTCCTACAGTAGCCTATTTATATCACACGAAATTATAATATTTTACATGAATTACGTTGAAAACACCGCCGGAGCCATCACGGATCGAGTGGCTTCCGGTCCGCCGCGCGTCGATTACATTATGATAGCCTGCAGCAGCGTATACAATAGTAATATAGTTTACACGTTTTATTTTTTTTTGTACAATACGATTTATTTTTTTTCACATCGCGGTCCGCGGCCACGACAATATGCGTTATCGACGCAGTAAAAACGATTTCGGCTTGTCTGTTGCCCCCCTCACCCCCACCCCCCCACCCACCCATTATTGAATCGTTTTAGCTTTGTTTCGCGTTTCTACTGCGGCCGCTCCGTTCCGACGCGAAATCCAAGGGGAAAAAAATTGTTTTTCTAAAAATTTCGAATAAATTTACAACGCAGAACGCTACAATAGTGATATAGTATGTATCGAATCAACTAGCCCGTTTTTAAATTATTATAATGCGGATGATGCAAATTTAAACCGGCCGAGAAGAGAAATGGCCGCGATAAATTTCACAAAGTCAACACCCGTTTGAGACGTGCGGCGGGTAAAAGTTTGAAAAAATCGTGTAAACAACGACGCGGCGGTATAAAACCAAACCTAAATCTTTTTTACTCGAAATCTACCTGTAAAATCTCTTTTTACATTTATTACCCTTATGTGATGGCTGGTGGCGTCTCGTGCGTAAAATAATTGGTGGTGCGCGTTTAAAAAACTGTACCCAATCAAAATACAGTCGATTCGGAAAATAAATACTTTATTGAAATATGAATATATTTGTAATTGTTCTGTACAGCGGTTTCTCAGGTAGAAATCTACAATCTATAATAGGGTATTTTTTTTTTTTTTTGTCATGTTATAATACATCACTGATGGCGTAAAAACGGAAACGAAATTATATCGATTTTAAATGTATTAAAACGGTTTAACCGTTCAATACGTTTAATACGGTTTAGTGAACATTTTGTAAACCCGATCAGTATATATTATTAATTTCGTTGTGTCGTTCAAATCGAATCAAATATACTTCACCGTAAAGTTTTGATGTGATGGATTTGCGGGATACAAACAAACAGAATCTAGTCGCGACTATGTTCGGAACAACAGTTAGTAAAAATCGACCGTGCCAAGCACTAAAAAATAAAAATAAAAAAAAGAGTAAAAACCAAAAATTTCAAAAAAAAAAAAATCGCGTAATATTTTTTCTAATTTTTAAGAGAACGTTTGCGGGGGGTTTTTCTTTTATTAAGAGAACATTAGCGTCGGGTTTTCGCTGGATTTCGCCGGTCTTTTCTACTCTCGTTCTCATACTGTGTACGCGCGCCATCTTCTACCGAACACGCCCGTATTATGTCCATGCGATATTCTCATTGTTATTATCGTTGTCGTTATTACTGGATCGTTGCCGCGCGTAAAATATTATTGTGTTACATTACGCGATATTATAATCGTTAAAGGCGGTCGTTACAAACAAAACCGTTCTATCCCCCGTCCGATATTTTCACTCCCAAATATTATGACACGGCCGACGGACGCCGGGCGGCCGCGGCGGCGGTATCGTTCGCTCGCGCGCCGCGTGCGTGCGTGCGTGCGTGCGTGCGTGCGCCCAACGGTATCCAACGCCCCCCGGGTAACGGGTGGGCGGGACTTGGACGGGCGGCACGCGTTCGTCCCACGGACCGCGGCGGACGTGACACACGGGGGCATTCGAGTCCGACGCGCAGGGACCGTACGATACGCGGCGCGCCATCATCGCGGATAACATTATTACAATATTGGAATATTATTGCGCGGCGCTCGTACCGTGTCGTTTCGCGGCCGCTTTTATCATTTTGCGCGCCCGTTGGTACGCAACCGAACCGCGTAAACTCGTCCGTTCCGCGCACCGCCGGATGTCGACGATGGCCAGCGACATAATTAACTATTCGTCCAGACTCTATCAGCCCGACTATTCAGGTAAACCGATAACCGTTTCCTACAGTAATCTGTATGCGACGAGCCGCGGGTATTGGCTGCGACGGCCGCTCGGGTCGGCTAAATCCGGTTCCGGCGATATTTGCGCGTCCCGCGGTACACCGAATAGCGCATCGAAAAGTCCCGGGGCTGTTTGAATAGCGTGCGCGAATTGCTACGGATTCGGCAGCGGGCGACCGCGGCGGCTGTTTAACAGAAGTTCGCCTTTTAAAAATATTTTATACGACCGACGACAATAATTTCAGCCTATTCGAACATTTTTTTGATGCAACACGTTTGACCTGTACCCCCATTTTGTACCGTCGAAATGCGCGCTGTAACGGCGGGTAGACCATTTTCAAAAGTAATAGAAATAATAAGCGAAATCGTCTTTTCCTACGTTTCTGAAAAATTCGTTCGGGCCGCCGAGTCCTTAGGTATCGAAAAGAAAAACCGTAATCGACTATTATTGCTTAACGGATCCCGCGTTCTGTTATTTATCGGTGACTTGACTTGTACAGTTAATGTTGACGTTACAGTGAAACAAGAATGCATTGCGGTCGCGGCGGACACGTCGACGGCCGCGGAAGTGGCTGGAGACGGACGTTTCGTCATCCAAGACCTGTCGCCGTCCACACCGTCGCCCTACTGGACGCCCGGCGCCGCGGAACAGCTGGTGGCTTGCGTGGTCGGTAGCACGGTGTCCGCGGCCTCGTCCTCGTCGTCTTTCGTGGACGACGAGTCCACGTCGTACGAGGACATCACGTACAACTGTAATTACGGGCTGCCGACGACCATCGTCGGCCCGCAGGCCACCGCGGCCGCCGGTTGTGACTACGGTGCCACGGGCCTCTACACCCACCAGCACCTGCACCAGCAACAATACGGCAACGGCGGCGGCTGTTATTACGACGCCGGCGGCGGCGGTGGCGGTTATCACCACTTGGGCTACGACGAAAAGCCGCCGCCGTACGACAACAACAACGCGGCGGACGCGTGCGACATGAACTCGGCGGTCGCGGCCGTCGTTTACGACGACCCGTACGCCACCGCCGTCCAACCGGCTACCCAACAGGTGAATATTAACTGTTCATTTGTGACAAAGAAAAAAAAAAAATACTGAAAATAATCGGTTTTTAAAAAAGGATTTTCGAATTTCTAAAACTATCCAATAAAATTATAATTGTAAAACGAGTTCACGAGCAGATTGAAACGTATATGCAAAATGTATAGAGTTTTAATACTGCGGAAACAAAAAAAAAAAAATCTATATGCAATTCAATTAAACATGTTTTTGCTTAACTTACACGGAAACATAATTTGTTTTCAATAGTTTCCGATAGTTCGTAAGTTATTTAACGAGTTTCGACAAAATTTAAACTTCAAACGCTTTTTATACCGAAAATCATAAACGAAAAAGCAATAATAATACGTTTTCTGAAAGAATTTTGGTCATTTTCGATTTTGTTGCGATTCGTTTAGAAAAATATCGTAAATACTCACAGTTTTCAGATAACACTTAAATTAGCTTTTTCTAGCCATTCAAAACATTCCTGCGATTTTCGGACTGTTATTTTTTCGGAAAATTTTCTAGTTTTTTTACTTTTACTTAAGTACAGGTATTATTATATAGATACAATAATTTGGCCGAACAGAAAAAAAAAATATTTAAAAATTAATTACGAGGTTCATTATAATCTGTATATAAAAATCTGTGATAAAAAAGAAAAGGTTGAACGTAACGTAATAGTTTTGTTATTTTAAGAGCGATTAAGATCAAATGTGGACGAAAATCATAAAAATTACGGTATTTCAAAACATGTAAATCCGAACCGAAAACAACTCAGATTATTCAGAATACTATTTTCGTTAGCCATAGCTTATCGTCGCGTACAGTTATAAAGTAAATCCACTTTCCCAACTTTCCGCCCACAGCAGTGGCACACCTGTCCCCAATATTCACTCTTTTTTTTTACCTTTAATCGCTTAGAGTGAATTCAAAAACTCGAACATTTCAAACGTTGAAATATTTAAAAATTAACTGAGAATTTGCCAAATTAAAACAACAAAAACCCGACACCGCGTGAGTATTACACGAGTAACAAATATTTCCGTGTTTCTTCGGTTTCTTCCCTGCTATTAGAAAAAGGGATGTAAAAAAAATAAATGACCTCCCAACGCTTTTAATAGCAAACAGTCGACATATTTTAACACGAGAATACATAATTTGTACGTTTTAAAATATAAAATTCAAACAAATCAAAATGAAAAAACGGTTTTATATTGTCTACCCGTTCGTCATGGAAATATTGTTTTTTTTTTTTTTTTTTTTTTACCGAGACGATTTTCATGCGACCGGAACTTGCGAGCGGCGAAATAAATCGCAACTTCCCCGCGTATGTACTGCGCGCGTTTCAATTTACTTAACTGGTTGTTTTTTTTGTTCCTTTCCGGCTCGAACGCACTCGAGACTCGAGTTCTTCTCGGTTTTTTTTTTTTTTTTTTAATGGTTTTGGATTTATGACTATACACCCTACACAAACACGTGTGGATCACGCGCCACAGCATGTCACAATATATGAATATATACATATATATATTATCCCTATTCTGTACAGAATCCGACCCCGAAAGGTGCAAAATCACTCAAAAATAAATGAATAACACGGTAATTTTCGGTCGGTTGGTTTTAATTATATTGTACGAGCGCCGCAAGTGATGCACACGCGTGCTCTGCATCGGTTAGAAAGAATATACACTGTCGTCGGTTTTGAGTTCCGGAGGTTTGGTGGGACGCGTGATTCGTGTTTTTAATCGGCCGATAAATTTACCGTTTTAAATCTTACGGGAATAAAAATCACACGCCAAAGATGAAATTCGATTGGTGAGAACTCCGGCGATTAACTGCAGGATAAAATATCCACGGAGGAACAGTTACAGTATGTGACGGGACTGAAATTCCTGAAAAAAACAAATCGAAATGTAAAGTGATAAGCTATGAAACACTATTTACCCGATTAGCAAGTGTTTACGTTTCGGCGCGATCCAAAAGTTAGGGCAATCCGAAATTGATTCCCAGGTCAAATAAAGTGTGCGAATTGGTTGCCAATAAAAATTACACATAGTCATTCAACCATTCGAATCGGTTCCTAATGTACACATTTCGTAATTTTATCATATTTAATTAGATTTATGAAGCCTGGAGTTTTTCCGCGAGAGTTCTAATATTATAGCATAATATAGTGTAGGAATATAAATAAAATATACGCGTTTTTATTGATTGAACAATTAAAAGCGACCCAATGCGAAACATACATAAAGTAAAGAAGCGCGCTCGAATTAACGTTAAAATAACGTTTGCCGAAAAGGAAAATTTAATCGGCGAAAAATTTCAAACTTGCAATTTTTGTCAAAAACGTGTGTTGAAAACTAATACCGCGTTTTATTATCATGTGCTCAACCGACAACAAATTCCTTCCCATTTTACACAGACTCGGGACCGTCTAGAACACCTAGGTATGGTTTAAAGTGGCGCTGCCTCGTTATAGCCAGTTCTGCGGTGTACACCATACAAGGAATGTACGTGTTTGTCAATGACAATATAATAATAAAATAAGTGCACGATAATATTTTCACGCAATATCAAATAACAGTAGGTCGATTACAATAAATTATAATTTTCATAAAGTCAATTTAACGTAGTATTATTATCGTTATGGATGCTCGGCGGGACCTATTCCTACGTTACCCACTTTAGACAACTCGGGAACCAATTCGGTAATTGGGAACCGACCCGTAGTCGTCCAAAAGTCAATGATCCGTTCTCGAACAATTTTCCTTGTTGCACCATACCGAAAATGACATTATATAATTTTTTGTATAAAATCTGAGCACTCAGAATAATCTATCTTTAATTATACTCCGTGCGAAATGGTTGTTGCGAAAATCGTATTATCAAAACTGAATAGTTGTGACGGGAAGACTTGTATATTAATTCGCATTTCGTGTTTCCACAGCCGTACCTCCAACACCGAAACACCGACGGTGTCGCCGGCGACCACGATGACGATAAACAGCAACAACAACAACAACAGCAACAGATGCACTGTCCATCGGGGGTGATGTCGGCAACAAATGCCGTGCCCGTGCCGGTGGTGCGGGTCGTAAAGCGCAGGAAGACGGCCAACAAAAAGGAACGGCGTCGGACGCAGAGCATCAACAACGCGTTTTCCGACCTACGGGACTGTATACCAAACGTGCCGTCCGACACCAAACTGTCCAAAATCAAAACGCTCCGGTTGGCCACGTCGTACATCAGCTACCTGATGACCGTGCTGGACAGCGACGACCCGGAAACGGACGGTTTCAAGGCCGACCTGTCCGCGCACACGTCCAGGCGGTCGTCCGCGGCCACGCAATCGGCGACCGCCGCGGTCACCTGCGCCAACAATAAGGCCCAACAACAACAGGTACGATTGAACGATGCGCGACGAGAAATGCAGGGACCCGAGGGACGGTTTCACTTTGCGGTTTGCGGGGAAAGTTGGGGGGAGGGGGGGTAGTGCGTGAAAATTAAAAACCGACCGTTTTCTCAGCATTTTTTTCGGTTGCGTATAAAAACGCGCGCGTTTTGGTTATTTGAGCTTGGCCAGTGTACACTGTACGCGTTTGTCGAAATACTTGCAATGCCCGTCTCTGTATACGATTTTTCAGAGTTTAAATGCGAATACTTCCGTTGAAAACCGGTAGAAGTATAGCCGATATAGGCGATCGACAAAAAACTAAAACTAATTCCACATACCGCCCGTCACGAGTATAACTATTTTTTTTTTTTTGATTTTATAGTACAAGATATTCACGGATCATAAGTGCGCGAACAATATTGATACCGCGATAGTCTCGATTATCCCGAATACGAAATAAATGTAAACGAAATCATAAACTATAACGTATTGATTATAATTTACAAGATGGTATTAAGACGATGTGTAAGACGTAGGATTGATATTATGACATGGATTATGAAATGAAAAAAAACTATATATATATTTATATATATGTATGCTTACACTGTAATACGATGTTTTTTCGCACAAACAATAATAATATTCATCAAACATATTCGTGACATATTATCAGAAAGATTGGGAGTAAAAAAAATTATAAATCATACTATTCTGGTTATCGTACGACATGGTGTCTCGTTGTGCGTGACAACATTTTTATTTTATTATTATTTTTTTTTTTATAGCAAAATAACACCATATAAATAAAGATTAGGTACACGTGTGGCACTTAATAATTGTTTGCGTATCGCGATTTCACATCCCTAGAGACACCCTAATCGCTATGGCACATAACATATCGACCAGATATAGAAATGCGTGCTTAAAAAAAAAAAAATATTCATTTAATACGTATTATTAAAAATAATAATTTTGTTATACCGTTAATAGCAGCGTGTACGAGTTATATATTATAAAGTAGAAACGGCTTCGTAAAAGTTTTAATGCTCGAAAATTACCCATTTACTTGTATTGTATAAAAATACGAAATTCAAATAGGAAGCATTGAGAATTGAAATTCGGGGCGTCGAAATAAATCCTCGCGCGCTAGTCTTAGAATTCATAATAAAGTTGCGACACTTTGTGTGAATTAAATCAATATAAAGTTCAGTGTTATCGTTTAAATGGAAAAAAATCGAATAAAATGTATCCGAATCACTCAGTCGTTGACAGGATCGGACAGTAGACGCAAACGATTAAAAAATCAAAAAAAAAATCAATCGAATAGATCAAACGCTCTGTATATCGATCGATTAAAGACAAATATTTGATAAATGCTAAATTTTTATTTTTTTTATTTCTGACTTCTGTAAATTCGTAGTGACATGAAATTTTGACAGAAAACTTATATTTGCTTTTTCTAGATGTGGTATGCAAAACCAAACAAAACATTTCTGCTATTGTTTAGACATTTTAATTTCGTGAGTTTTTTACTTAATTTTTATTTGGAAGGTAGGTACTTCGTCTAATAATTTTTTTTTAGACCAAATTGAAATGGTTGAAAATTTAACAATAGATTCATTATGAGTCGTATTTAGTGATAAAACAAAACAAATTGAGTTTAATGTAGGTAGTAATTTTTTTTTTATAAGAATTTTAATACCAAATTTTGAGGAAAATCGTAAATATTACGGGTTTTCAAAACATATTTAACCGAACTTCGGTTCGAATCGTTTTTCATTAGCAATGGTTTATCGTTGCGTACAAATATAAATTAAATTCCGCTATATAACATCCTACCTTTTCAACTTCTCACCTACAATAATGGCCCAACCATCGTGAGAAATATGTTCATCTTTTTAAAAATAATTTTTGCTGGAAATAGAATGAATTCATTCAATTAAACAACAATTGTTGTTTTTTTACCTCGGTATAGACGTATGGTATTTAATAATTAAATTATTACAATATTGTCTAAAATATCATTTATCAGTTTAGTCAAATACTGTATGTCCAGACATGTTACATTTGTCCGTTTAAAACGAACACCGATGTTAATATCTATTTGAAATAATATCGTGTGTTCAAAAATACAAGGTTGGGCATGTTAATGATTTTTTTTAACTTATTAATAACTTTGAATAAAGTAAATTAACTATTTATTTTTTTATAACCCTAGCTTTCTTTGCCATTTACCAACTTAAATTTAAAACTGTATAGTGTTTACTATTTAGTGTCTACAAGTACAGTATTTCTATACATTACTTCTATATAGTGATGAAGTTTTTCTAAAATTTAAAATAACAATAGTTTTACCTATCTAATAAACAATAAATAATAATGCATCGATACTAAAAAGTACACAAGTTGTTTTATTTATTTAAACCTTGTATATACAACATATACAAAGTCTGACCAATAAGTAATGAGACTAATTCAATAAAATACGTATATTTAAATACTAAGATACATCGATGTGATCCCCTTCAAAGAACTCTCCTCCCACCCCTATACACTGGTTCCAACGTTTTTTCCAGCTCTCATAACGTTTCTGGAAGGCTTCGACTGGAATGTCCTGAAGTACCCTCGTCACGGCGTTCTGGATGTCAGTTATGGACTCAAAATGCGTTCCTTTCACGGCCAATTTTGTTTGAGGGAACAAAAAGAAGTCGCAGGGTGACATATCCGGCGAATAGGGCGCTTGTGGCAACACTGCGATGTTCTTAGAGGTCAAAAATCGCGACACACTGAAGGCACGCCGAAAGGTTCTTCGGTACCATCTTTGCACACAGCTTTTTCATGGACAAATCATCAGTTAAAATTTTTCTGACGGTTTCTCGTTTCAAATTAAGTTCATCAGCCAACATTCGAACGGTTAAACGCCGATCTTGATGCACGAGAGTGCGCACACGCTGAAGATTGTTGTCAGTTCGAGCTTCAACCGGTCTCCCACTTCGCGATTCATCCCCGACGCTTTCACGACCATTTTTAAAATTTTTATGCCATCGAAACACCTGAGCACGACTCTCATCTTCATCACCGAACAATTTCACCAATTTATCGTACGTTTCCATAACGGAATCGCCGAGTTTAACGCAAAATTTAATCGCGTACCGCTGATATTTGAGACACGCCTTACAAACACGTTGTCGAAATCATAACACAACTGGAAAACTAATTATTATACGAAAATCGCGAGCACATGTATCGATAGAGGAGGGATGAGAGATTAACCGAACGAAGTTTCAGATTCGCAGTGTTACCACAAGCGTGGAAAAAAAACAGTCTCATTACTTATTGGTCAAACTTCGTAGATACTATTAGTATGCATGCATGTGTGTGTGTGTGTGTGTGTATATGTGTGTGTATGTGTGTGTGTGTGTAAAAGACAATGAATAGTCAATCGACTATAAATGCATTACTCAATTACCGTATTATAAAATATAACCGAAATATTTTTCGACATTAAAACGAATCGATTGATAGAAAAAAAAAACAAACGGTAAAACCAATACATTATCCTCGGTATTCACTCCCAAATCTAAAAATGAACATAAATTCTTAAAATGACAATTGAATTCGTTGATTTCGCGTTAATAAAAAAAAAATTAAATTAGTATAGTTAACGGAAACCCAAAAGTAACCGGTCAGGTTAAAAAGCTGAAATCAAATGGAAAAATCGATTTTAACTTTAACTTGTCAACTCATTAATGTCCCCAGCCTTGCAAAAGTGCGATCCGTTCGTAAATTGCCGAATCGTGTAAATACGTTATCTCACGTAAAAATAACGCGGTTCTAATAATTTCGGACACTTAATATTCGTAAAGCGGACCGAGTTTTTTTTCGATCGGACGCGTTATAAAACCGATTTTTGAAAAAGTCAACGTGCAATACGTTATTGTAATGGCCTTTAAAACCATATCGTTGTACATCACGCCGTTTCGGCTCCCACGGATGTACACGGCCGCACGAGCACTCGTAAATTATCATCGCTTAATATATCCACCAGATTCGGCCACTTATAATATCATTATTATCGCGCATATGGCAATAATACTGTGAACCGCGTATGTGGCGTGTGACGACGTGCGATATTTAATGCACCCCAGCGAATCAAATAACGCCACTAATGCAGTAACGACATTATGTGTGCGCGCATACGCACCATACGAAATTGTCGCCCCCGACACGGGCGGGCTCCGTCTTTATCGTTCCGGTCGGCGCGGCATGTAGGAACCCGGTCACAATAACCATTACCATTGCCGGCGACCGACTTCGAACCGTAACCGCGTTCGAACGTCAAAACGATTATTGTTCAATGGACAATATTCTCCCTGTTATACGGATATTACGATCTCGTTTACGGTATTTTTGTCATTTCGCCCGTCTCTTCCGCGCCCGCGTCACAAAAAACGAAATGCCGTCATGCTTCGCGCGTGGGCGAGACACCGTTGTAGGTGAGAAGTCGGGAAGGTAGTATAGAGGGGAAATTTTATGTACAATATCCGTACACAACGGTTAACCAATGCTAGCAGAAAAAAAAAGAAAAAACGATTCCGAGCGGAATTCGGTAGATAGTGTTATTATGTACTGATAAATTAATAAACATTGAACATGTGCACTCACTATACTTATTCAACTAATCACAAACAATTGTACTACGCATGAGTTCCAAGTACGCCACTGGTTGTGGTCGTATATAAAGTAAATTTAAAATGTTGTCTGCATAAGATCATCAACAAATTCTATATAATGACTGAAAAAAAGTCAAATGTACGAAAAAAGAAAATTAAAAAATCGTACCAGACAATGACTAGTCCACGGTAAAATAATTACCCTCTAAATTTACGTCGGACACGTGGCACTATGAATAAGGCGTGCGAGAGGAAACGACTTTATTATTATAAAACGGCGACCCGTTGTGTTCAGGGTACGCTACGCGTATACGTCAGCCGTCAGGGCAGGGCATAATGTAATAAAAATTGACTATAATATTATTATTTTATCTGGCGTGTGCGCAGGGGAACAGATGATAAAGGTTAAAGGGTGTAGACAGACCCGTTACGGATATTTTTTACGAGTTTATTATTATATACAGTTCAATGCCGTTGACTATACACGGCGTTAAGGATTTTCGAGGTTCTTCTTCAACTTACAGGTTGAACCATTTTATATAATTAACCATCGTATACGTTTAAAACTATATGTAATGTATACAAAACTCATAAAACTCAAAACTCATTCGACTACGTATAGTCGAAAACTATATGCATGTCTCACACATTGCCTCAGTCTAAAATTTAAGTATTTTTCAATGTATATAATATATATATATATATAGTCAGTGGCGTAATGAACACAAGTTGAAATTAGAGTTCTTGATTAATTATGTAAATTAATAAGTACATGCGTGAAATAAAGTCCGCGTACACACAGTAGCGGATTTACGGGGGGAGAGAGAGCACAGGGGGTCTGGACCGCCCCCCCTCCCCCAGATACTGATATAATAAATATTTGTACTTGTATACTCAATACACGTGCATTTACTATAAGTTTTCACGTGTTTTAAAGCTATTCACGTGAATGCTCAGTGAAAATACGTTCAAAATAACGTAAAATGAAGCTGCTCATTTGAGGGGAGGGATAACAGGGAAATTATCTCTCCGTTGGACTTTTTTTTTAAAGTTTTTACCTCCTATTGGACTCATAAATAATAAAGGATACGCTATCCTGACTTTGTTAATGTTTCAAGACTGATTTACGAAGTGGGGCGGCTTTTTTCTTCTATGGTTTTTTATCTATGATGATAACTAGAGCTCGGATGTTGTTGCATTTGCAACTTTTTTTCTATTGTTCGGATTCGTTGCCAGGTAGGTTATACATTTGTTTCAAATAAGTACAAAGTAATATCTAAAAAAATTTATATTGCAACTTTTTGCAATTTTTGACCTTTTTTCAATTTTATTGCAATTTTGTTGATCGTCGTCATTTTCAATACAATTTTATGTATTTTTTGTATTTTCACTTTTTTTGTAAGATTATATAGAAATAGTCTCTGGTTATATCAGACTTTGTTGGTTGTAACTTATGACGGCTTATTTGACCGTTGTCGTCAGCGGTAACTGGAAATACAAATTGATTAATACACGGTACTTACGCTATATAATGATTTCGGGAAGTATTTTCCGTCTACAAGAATTTGTTGTCTTTTTATCGAATGTCTTTCGAGTTTGAGAACCTGAAGAAGTCGTTTATAGTACAAAGCAATAATTTTTAAGGTAAATACTTTTTTTATTAAAAACGAAACAAAAATAGTTTAAATAAAAAGTTTTAAATTTTAATAAAATTATTTGTTGGTTCCTGAAAAAGTAAGAAGACCGGACAAATTACCAGATTTTCAATGATGAGAATTTGATTTTGAATTTTTTTTTTTAATCTACTTATTTAAAATCCATCTAATAAAATTACTTTAAAATATTACTTAATAAAGTTACTTAATCTATTTCATTGAATAATTTGTTAATTTTAATTTTTATTAGTTTTGGTAAAGACAGTTTTTTATTGCAATTTTGGGTTGTTTTCATAGCAATAATGCAATCAATTGTGTAACATTTTTAGTGCAATAATGTCCGAGCCCTAATGATAAATGATTTTTATAATTTTTCGACCCTCCGGGAACATTGCCAAACACACAATTTTTGTATAAACGACCTATTCATTTCTTTATTATCTATTCTGGAATTAAACCGTTGATTGTATATGTATTTAATAGCTGTTATCAAACGAACGATATTCAATCGCTAAAATGTTTCGAAAAACACGTCTAGAAAAATCAATTATTGCCATTAATAACAAACACGGTTTATATAAAACCATTAACGAATACGTAATGAAAAATTTAAGAACATTTTTTTTTTTTTTTTATCGTTTATACGCGTACCTATTATGAACATAATAACATAACATAACATTCTTACTTGACATTAGAATTGGGCGTTTTTTTTTACAGTGGGTATACTAGATAATTTAACTTTCCCGCAAATCAAATACCGTCACTCACCACGCCCCAGAATATAATTATCAACTATTGGTGTACCAAACTATGTACGCATATAGATAATACGGGTATTTTTATTATGGAATGGTAATGGGTGAACAAAATTCGAAATATTATTTCAAAGGTGTTTTAAGTAGGTACACTAAAAATGCACAGTCCTCCATTATCGTAATAATATGTAATAAAACAAAAAAAATAAACAAATAAAACACCACTTTTAAAGCAATAAATAATTTACATAGATACTGAGCACGCGAAACCCAATGGACCCGAACCACGACCACCAACTACACCACGAACACCATCAGCACCACATGAAACGGAGCAAAGGCAGGACCGGTTGGCCGCAGGACGTTTGGGCTTTGGAACTGAAACAGGAACAAGTGTAACGCACTTCGCGACTTGACGACTATATCGATCCACCACGCGAGACTAAATTATATTGATATACACTGTTAATATTACCTATACATATTATTATCGTTCGTACCAATGTTTATTTTTTTTTTCTCTCTAACGCCTAGCGAACGGTGATTATGATTATTTTTTTGATACCCGTTTTTGAATTCCAAGCCTCGGTATTTAGAAAACCGTGTTTCAGAATTACTATTTTTTAGTAACACAAAATTTGAGAAAGTTGATTTCGCTTAGAATAACGTTTTAGAATAAACAATTACAAGCAAATATATTAAATAAGAATAACGGACGAAAATACATGCGTGTAATTTCAGCTCTACCACCAAAATATAAGTTATTAAATTGAACGGATAAAATTATTTTGTATTTAAAAAAAAAAACTAAAAATGGTGTGACAAGAACAATTTTTTTTAAAAAATTCCGATAAAAACGTCATTTTTTAAAATTTTATCCGAAAAAATCTAAGATATAATGACATTCTCAAAAACTTTATCAAAACGCTTCAGCATTCTGAAACATTACAATCTAAAACATCACTTTTTAAAAAATACAATTCCCAGATATTATTACATTTATATTCAGATATTTTTACATATGTATTTGGTCAATCACACGGTTTATCCGTAAGCACGCAGTAAAAAAAGTTTATTCTCTAAATTAATATTCGGACAGTTGTACAAACTATTAAACTAAATTCAAAATTCGGTTGTTATCCTATTATTTAATGTCACTTTTAATAAAAAAAAAAAAAATTGAATATGAAACCAAATCGAGATTCGCAATACAATTTTAAAAAAAAAAAAAAAAACGTCTACCTACGGGGTGAACAGAATTTTTCGTTACAGTAATTTTCCACATATAAATACGTAATATCGCGAGAATTTTAATGAAAAAGTTGTATATTAAATAGTATAATTTAAAATTATAATATATGGACTTAAACAAATTTTAGACGCCTTATTGAGAAAGATTTCCCGGTTCAACTATTAAAATTCAAGTGAAAACCTACTTTATTTTGTTTGCAAACACCACGTAAACGTAATTTTTTTACGAATTTATGTGGTCAAAACACATATTTTATTAGAAAACTCTTTGCTGTATAACGTGGTTTAAAGTTCATTAAAAACCGTGTAACACACGTACCTGGTTCCCTATTTTTCAATGTAGCTAATAATTTTAGATTATACTATTCAATAGAACTCGTTCGTTATACATCGTTTATCTGCGTTGCATATACGGATAAAAAAAATACTCTTACATAAAATTCGGATCTATCAGTCCCACCCCATACAACTTGTATTTATTCTGCCGCCGCGTCGTGAAGTGTGGGCATTACAACAGAGAGAAAAAAGATTGGAAATTTTGTTGTCTTTTTTTTTTCTTTTTCGATTATTTTATTAGGCAATAAACGGAATACTGCAGTTTAGGCATACCGCACATAACGGATATAAGGGCATTTCGTACTACATTTTATACCGCGTTTACACACAGTCACCAGTACACATTAACCTAATTCGTATTGAATTGAACTTGCATATTTTAAACGCACGTTTAGTACGCATTACCTAAGTTATTTTAACTACGCGTTAAGTTAATGCGTATTACAATATAGTGACTTCATAATACGAACGTGATAATAGGATTTTAAATATTTTGTAATATATTGCGTGTGTGCGTAATGCGTATTTATTATTATTATTATTATTATTATTTCACATTTTTTAGTATACGGCGGACCGCACGCGTATTTATTATTTATACGATACAGTTTTATGTATACAAGAGATATTATAAATAAATGTACAAAAAATATAAATTATTATATTATATATTATATATATATATAAATCTGTTTGTTTAGTTTATTATGGAAATTGATTCATCTAGCTAATAATCAAAAGAAGACGAAAAAACAAGGTGAAAAAAAACATTTCGCTTTCGATTTAAATGTAGCATTATATAGTTATGATTCCATTTATTCGCACTTAAATTACATTCGTTCAAATTACGGGCTCACTATACGGTAAGTGTATCGCGGCATACACGCGAGACCGGCGATGCAATAATTGCAAACGTCCATGCACGCCACTTGCTGTACTCGACGGATAGTACTGATAATAAAGGTAAACGTACCAGATGATTTATTGTGCAACAGTTTTCTGTTTTTTTTATGGTAAATAATTGCTGTGTGTTTAAGTTAACGTAGACAAACGCCGGTAACGACTACGGAAGATCTTTCTGGAAATTAACCGTGTGCCCAAAGAGAGCTCACGTATCGTGAATTTTGTTTTGTTGCGTTTTATAAATATTTCGGTTTTTCGAAAACTGCAACGAAAATCAAAAAAATAGCCTCCCGGACGTACCGATTTAAACAAAATTTGCTATCCACAAACCACCCTTGGAGTCGATGATCGGAACAAGACATCTAGCGGATTCCGTCGTATTTACACGTGAAATATGGACGGCGGACTCGTTAAAAAATAAAAATATACACACGGTGTACAGCTATATTGCGTATTGTTGTCGTCATATTATTATTATTATTAGGTAGTATTTTAGTCTGTTGGGGAGGAAGTATTATCTTCTAATGAGGTCGCATTCACCCGTGTCTTCCCGCACACAGTACATGACACTAGTCACGATTTATTATAATAATTTATAATGTATACGATGATCGGCAAATATATTACAATAATATCCGATTCATTTCAATGCGGTGTCTAAAAACAAACACCACATTTAACCATTAATTATTCTTTGAAGCTATACTGTGTACGGTATGTCACATTATAACGGTACACGCCGGATCATTTTATAATAACAGAGTGCTTCGATATAACTGATGATAATAATTTACATTTCTGTATCGGAACTTACTAAAAGTACAGTTTCACTACGGCAAGACCCACGCCCGTAAACGGTGGTTACGGGGTGCGAACCGTTTCGATATTCATAAATTGTTAACATAATTATGGAATTACAATATTATAATAAGGAAAAACTGAACGATTAATAATATTGTTCACTGTGTGTTTGATATGTGTTATCAATAATTACTGTTGTAGTTAATTTGATTGTGAAAACAAAATTTAAAGAATAATGAATATTTGCGAAACCACGTATAGATACAAGTGTATATCTTGCAACTGAAGTTAACTACGATGAAGTCATTAAAGAATTTAAAGTGTTTCATTAAACGACGCATAGTGTCATATAACAAGGACACGTTTAGCAGGTCCCTCTGGACCAAAAGAGCTCAAATTCGAAAATTAAAGTTTTTTTCATAAGCAGATTGAAGTGATAAGACATCGGTTAAATTTCGATATGAACGTTATCTTAATGGCTGCAGGAAGAGAGTGATTTTTACCTTTTACAAACCTACAGACTCCCCAAATGAAGCCAAAGGGATACAATTTTATATATGCATAGCGTAATTATCAAGGATATGTCTTTTGATGGTTTCACCTTTGAACCCATTCCCCAATCATTTTTATTCTCATTAACATTTCTATGTTTGCACAGAAAACAGAGTGTTTTAAATACGCCTACAGAGTCATGAAAGTATGTTACTTGGTTAAAATGTATATAAATATAACTGTTTTTCGACAATGTGCATGTAAAAGGTTTAAATTTCCAACCACCAAGCTCGCCGCATGTTTATATGTTAACAAAAACCTCGAAAACTACCTATTTTGATACAACTTTTTTCAATTCATTACATAAAATATTCGACTCTACCAACAGAGCTCTGCTGCTCGAGTGTGTTTTTTGTTGTTTTTTTTTTTTTTTTTGTTCTTACTGTATATACGTCGAAACAAGTCGATTCGTGGAATAAAAAAATATCGTAAATATTATAAACGAAATACCGGGTAACACTTTTATCTAGTGGCCCCTTCGATTGGTATAACGGGACATTTTCGTCCGAGGACAATTTGCTCCGTTACGGGGACATTTTTTATCCGGCGGGGACCAGTCGCTCCGTTTCGGCGACAAATCGATCCGGTCGTTTCTGATTGGCCGACGCAAAACGACGCGTTACCGATGCACCATAGAAATACCACGGACTATCATCTCACGGTATATCAACGTTCAACTTTGCCGTGATGGCATTGGTTGTACGTGAAACGTCCCCGGGGGACGTTTCGATCCGCCGAATCACGTGTGTGCATCATAAAAGTATAACAAATGAATAACAAACAACAACACAACAATGCGTAACGTTTAAAAGTATTACTGCGTATAATATAATCGGACGCGTGTACGTTTACAGGGTCGCGCGAAACGCCGGCACGACACGTACACGCGACATTGTAAAGTGCGCGTCACATGTTATGTTACAGACGATCGGGTTGACAACATAGTTTACCGCCGGAACAGTGTGCAGTGTGCGTGGCACGCGATATTTCGGTACAGTGTTTAAGATCGAATGCAGCGGTGCCCCGAGAATATTATAACAGCAATAATAAATAACAATATCGCGTCCGTTACGAAAACGATCACGCCAACTACGAAAATTACCGACTACGCTACGCGACGAGATTTTCGGCTTTTTTTTTTTTTTTTTTTTTGTGTGTTTTTTTTTCTCCGTCAGCCCGAAATACGATATAGCCGCCCGCTCGACGACGCGGTCTACGCGGTGCGATCCGCGCCCCGCGCCGCGCCCTCGGCCGCGGTCGCCATCGGTTCAGTGGCGATCGGCACTGAGGCGGCGGCGGCGGCGGCGGCCTGCTGTTGTCGCCGGAGCTGCGGCTTGCCGTTCGGTTGCTGGTACAACACGCCCCTGGCGTCCCGCCGGTACGCGAACGCTTCGCGGCCCAGTCTGGGCACTTGCGGCCCGGTCACGGTCGTCTGCCGGCCCAAACGCGGCGAGTACGGCGGCGATCTGGCCGCGTGCCGGGACGACGGGTAGGGGGTCCAGTCGTCGCCGTCTTCCGACGACGATCTACCGCTCCTCGCGTTCTGCTTCATCTGCTGGCTGTACACTGAAAAATTTTCGAAAAATATTAACGGGACAGTCGAGGATAACATACAAAGCACGGGATATTTTTCGAACCCAAACAATATTAATCTAAAACGCTATGCGCGATATTGTTTACTATTTTTATTTTTTCTTAATTATTTATTATTAAGTCCTGCAGTTTTCTGTTCCGATTTCGTTCGGATAGACACACGTCGTAATACATAATTGTTTAAGACCTGCGATCGGAACGGGAATAACTCATTCGATTTTCATTGTACTTTTGTCCCAATGTCAAATATTATAACGACATAAATTTGTGTTCAGTATACTGCACATATGGGTATATGATACACGATCGTATGCCCGCGTCGGCGTAACAACATCGTCGACCGTTTACCATGTATAGTCGCTATAATTATCGTTATCACTGCACGTCGATTTGACTCTAACGATAAAAAAAAAATAATAATAACGATAATACAGAAACGCCCCCCCCACCCCCCGGGAACCAGAGAGAAAAACCGCGCCCGTCGTTATCGCCCGTCCGCTACTGCCTGTCCGCTCTGTTTCGCCGCAAAAAAAAAAAAATAATACCATTGACGACCCGGCGTTTTTCAAATATTTCGACGGTGCAATACTGCAATCGCGCCGATTGTCGCACGACGGGTAATTAATCATGCGGTCGTCGATAACGGCCAACGTCCCAACGCGCGTCCGGTTGGCGAAATCCCGGCGAAAATATCGTCGTGACTTATCCGCGACCCGCGGTTTTCGCGGAGTACCGTGTGTGTGTAACGACGCGCAGTCCGATTTCAAAACGTTTAAAACCTATACGGAAAAAGAAGTCGGACGCATTTATACGCACGGTGGACGGGCCTCTGGTGTAGGCGACGCGCCGGGGAGACGTAGGATATAGCGGGCAATGCGATTTGCATTCGTTTTTATTTGACGACGATCAATCATCGCTAACGAAAAACGATTCGGAACCCGGTGTCTTTAAACGCGTGTACGTACGTACGTTCTCCCGGTTATCACGAAAACCGTTTGGAAAATAATAAAAACGACCTCTGGAAACTATCGTCTGGATAGAATTTCCTTTCGGTAAAACGCGTTACACTCGACAATCGGAGTAGTATTTCCGGCAGAAAAGTGGCTCGCAGTATGAAAATAAAAAAAAAAATAAACGCAAAATCATAAAACCAGTACACGTTCATCGCCGCGCTCCGAATCTGAAGAAAAAAATAATGAAAAAAACGATAACGGTGTCGTATGCACGTCGTGTCGCCGTCGCCGTCGAGGGTTTTGCCGTACCGATTTCAAGTGAAGTGTACGCCGGAGGAGAGGCTGTCCGGCACGCCCTTCCCGCCCGCGGATCCGTCCGACGTTGGACCGCAAACACCGGGGCGACGCGCGGCACTCGGGTCTCCGGCGATGCGCGCCGGGGAACCATGAAAATTCGCCCGTACTAAAACATCGGGACACCGTACTAAAAAAAATAATATTCGGGCGAGTACTGCACGACTCGACGACTGGGCCTGCGGCGCGACAGTTTCGGCTCGTGTACGCGATGATCTTATGATTATTAGTGTGCGTATACAGGATGATTCTATTGTCGTCGAACGCTCGTCGTTTCAAAAAAGTATTGATTTTCGAAAACGTTTGGTTTTTTTCCCCTTAATATTTAGATACCCGCTTATTTATTTCTTCGCGCTTTGTCGAATCGACTGTCGGCTTTTGATTTTCAAATGACGACCCGTAGGTATTAAAAATCCCACAATAATTGAAAAAGTATTCGTACAAATAGATTTTTGATGTCCGTTAACCGGCCGTAGACGAGATATTCGATAACTTTTAAGTTTGCATTAGGGAAAAATGTGTGGTGCGGGAAATTTCGAACACGCGTGTGGTCGCTATTAGAAAATCAAAAATCGATACTGTATTAAATACAAGGGCGGCAAGAAAAAATGAATAAAAGTCGTGTACAATAATATTATAGAAAAGCGTGTAAATCGCCCGAATCACGCAAGTTGTTGGTAAAAAAAAAGTCGGTATTTTTTTTTTTTTGAAACAATGAGTGCCGGGCGATAATAGAATCGCCCTGTATGTGCGAACGATACCGCGGCGGTCAGGGGATCATTAGGCCCATTATTAGGGTGCGGTTATAATAACAATTTACGGTGCGGTCGTGTACGATGATGCGAGATCGACCATCGGTGCGGGAGGGTGTGAAACGAAAACGGGGAAAAAAAAAAAACACTCGAGGCCTTAATAAGGTTTCGGTGTCGCGAGTTATTGTTTCGCTACACGCCGCGCAACGCGACGAACAACACGTCGCGTCGCGACACGCCGGGTCGTATCGGAATTGTCGAGCGGCGAAACGCCACTGTCGTCGGGATGTACCGAAATCTAATCAGACGACTATCGATTCGTACTGTAATTTGTACAACAGAACTTGGACCGGGGGGATCGATTGGCGCTGCCGCAGACTGCCGTCTGAAAACGCAGCGCCGACCGGTATTCGCAGTCCAAACGCGATGTCCGCGTTAAAAAAATAATGATATGACGTCGCGGAATTGAATAGAAAATGAATACCGAAAGGGGCGATTTTTTTTTTTTTATCAAAACGGACTGTATTTCCGTAGATCACGTTGTTATTATTATTCTAACGGAAACCGAACGACAATGTTCTCCCCGGACAATGACTATGTAGGTTTCTGTGGCGATAGTGCGTTTTTTTTTCGAACGTCGCCCCCAGACGTCGTTGTACGTATGTTATCCGCACGCGGACAATGCGGCGGGACGCATCCGCAGCGGCCCGTTTAAGCGTAATCACGTCGGACGGTGCAGTTACTCACGGGAATTCTCGACGACGGGCACGAGCACCCAAGGAGCGTTGTAGATCAGGTCGGACACGACGGCCTGTCCGGCGGCCGTCGAGAGGCCCGCCGCTGCCATCGCTTCCTGCGGCGTCGCGGCGGGCCCGAAGGCGTTCCCGTCCGGAGGCTGAACAAAGCCGCTGTTGAAACTCGACCCACCGCCACCGCGGCGTTTCCTGCGGCCCAACCGCGGCCCGAACCACAAGCCGCCCGATTGCGGACTGCCGCCGCGCTTTTCCGGGCCGATCAACGCGGCCGGCGCCACCCCGGACGCCGGAGATCTGACGCCGCCGTAATAACCGCCGCCGCCGCCGCCGCCTCTGCCGACCCCGACGTTACTGCCGCCGCCGCCGCCGCCATAGTCGTACCACAACAGGTCGGCGCCGGGCCTCTGTTGCGCAGCCAAGTCGACGGCCACCGCCGAATAATCGTTGTCCAACTGCTCCACGAATTTTTCCGCTTCTTGCAGATCTAAAAACAATCACGCGCGTGTCAGAAAATATACCCCCGTCTACGGTAAATGTAAAAAGAGACTACCGATTACACGTTATACGTATTCAATAAAGTTTCATGTTTTATCCCGTTGTCAAAACCGATATTTCTATTAAACCGTTCTGCCCCCACAATATTAACCGTAGGATATTTGGCGCCAGACGAGGCGTTTGCCCCTCCCCCTTAGCTTTCAGTATGGCAATAAATTTGTCATACCTAGTTGAATAATTTTTCTTTAAAGTTTTTTATTTTTTTTTCTGTCGAATTGTATATTGAAATATCGCATGAATATTATTGAAAATATTGCATCTTCCTTCCCCCCCCTCTCCCTCGTGAGTAAAATATCTTCGAGTTCTAATGGTTCCCGGTGTTATTTTAGACCACCAATCAAATTCGACTAATACAACAGTATAATGTATAAAGTTTATACTTCTCTATTAATTGTATTTAACGATTTTAACGATTTGCAATACACGAATTTGAAAAAAAAAAAACACTATACCTAGGTGCCTATCAAAAATTTCGACAACAAAACACTGGTTACAAATACGAAATCGGTGCCGTAAGTTACTGGTCTCAGTTGTGTTAATTTACGGGTCTGTAAATACTACAAAACGTTCTAACGACAGCCAATATTAGTTTTATTTACAGACTTGTAAGTGTTCCATAATGATTCTGTCGCTACACAACGCGTATGCAATCCACTCTAAAGCACGTATCAAAAACAAAAAAGTCATATTTACTGTAAACGTCGTACATGAATTCCTTTTGTACATTTTAAAAATTCATAAAATATTGTATTATGAAAGATTACGTCATCGAAATGTGCTAATGTTCAATAATATTATCGGTTATTTTAATATTTTAAATTTTTTAATTTACCTCCTTTTTTTTTAGCTGTTGGCAGTAGTGTATCTCAATTCACTGCATAGTGATAAAGGCCGGTTTTTTATCAGACAGAAATTATTAATCTCATATTATTTGCACGTGAATATACAACTTTATTTTACTTGTTTTATTATTATTATTATTAAATATACGTATTTTTAGTAAAATATTATAAAACGATTCAACAATGGCAGATTTATTTGGAAATAACAACGATAATTTTGACTTATCCGGGTCTGGGAATTTGGATAAACTTAAAGCCGAAGAAATACAGAAAGTTATAATGGTGGAACAGCAAAAAGCCCAATTAAATGCTCAAGTAAAATAATATTGCTTGAAAAACTTTAATTACTCTTCCAACTATTTCGTTACATTTTCAGATACAAGAAATCAGTGAAATATGTTGGGAAAAGTGTGTAGATAAACCTTCATCCAAACTCGGAGGAAAAACTGAAGTATGCCTTACAAATTGCGTTAAAAGATTTTTTGATACTTCGGTCGTCATCGCGCACAGATTCAATCAAATGCTCCAAAAATCCAGCTCTGGTCAACTATAACTACATTTTGGTTTTTAAGTATTTATGTTATTTTAGTAGTCATATTTGAGCTAGACTGCAGCAAACGCGGTATAATGTTATTAAGGAGTAAAGGCATTTTCAATATAATAAAAATATGTTAAATAACTAGTCTGTACTCCGTGTTCATTTACCTACCTAGCTTGATACAGTCAATTTATTTTACTATTAATGTTCAATAATATTCTTATTATAAAATACAACATTGTATTATTGTTTTTTAATCAGACTGTTTTAAATCCAAATACCCATTTACTAAATTATTCAATATTATTAGTGTTGTTACGGCGCCCCATAGCAGTGTTAACATTAGATATATCGAACAATATATTTTTTTTTTTATAGAATAAACAAATCAAATCATTGGTAGTATACTAGTAGGTAATTGTGGTTCTAATATTGTATAAAGTTATATCCATTGTTATGATATTTTTTATAGTAATTCATTTATCATAGATAAACAATATAATAATAACAACATTATATAATAATGAGCTTAAAGTTAAGCAGTTGTTGTTTTTTAAATATTGTATATATTATGAAACGGTACTGGTTTATCGCCTCGCACAGCTGTCTAAAAAATGTATCACCCTGCCACTCGTGTTAAAATTATTTCATGAAAGTTTATATGAGTTCAAGTTTGAATAATATTTTTGAACTGCAAAAATTGAATATCAGTATTTTCATTTAGTATTTATTTGAATAAATCTTAAGAATTAATTTTTAAAAATCAATAGATAGAAGTGTACTTCAAAATTGCATTTAACCATTATCAGTTCCAAGTCATTTTTATCAATAAAATTGTATGATAAAACTAAATTGTGTACCTGTATAGTACCGTTTTTTTCCTGTACTTCATGAGTAAATAATAGCTTATTTGATTTTATATTCCATTCTATTACTATTATAAATCAATAATACGGGCGGGGTTATAACAAACGTTAGTAGCGAGGCAATACATTTTTTAGACTGCCACACAGAGCATTAACAAACCAGTACATATATAACTTCTGAAGTTATAAAAATGTTGACTGAATTACAAATTTAAAGTAATATATTTATAAGATATTTGCCAATCAAATGTCATTTGTAGTATTTAATGTTTCCTATCCTATAATATAAAAAATACTGACGTGTTTCAACCCAAGATTAAAATTTTTATACATCATATTTAATATTTATCGTTATTTTATTGTACACGTTTTAGAATAATTATCATTCAACTACTAAATAATATTTTCTTGAATTGCTATATTTTTTATATATAAATAATATTTTACAATATGCATGTTTGGAACATAAATGCATGAAACCTATTAAATATTAGGGTAATAACTAAAGACTGAATTCTTGTACAATTGCATCTTTTTATAGCGTGGTCTTAATCCTATAGAAACAAGCTACAAATCCAATTCAAGAGATGTGGATTAATTAAAAGAAAGATTTATTTTGCACAAAATTGCACTTTTCAGGTTATTTTATAAAAAATGTACTAATCAGTACTTTTATACTACATAATCTATTTTAACATATGTTATTAACAGATATTATTTTGTAATATATGTAACTTTATTATTGCTATATTATGTTGTTGTATAAAGTATTGGACTTTTATATCTAATAATATAATAATTATAGACATATTTTATCGATATAATATAATACAAACAATGCCCGATAACAAGTGCCAATGTAGAATGTGTGTTTTCACAATTAAAACACATATTAAGTGACAGAAGACATAATTTTACAGAAAAGAACTTAGAGATGTGCATGGTAATACATTTTAATCAAATATTGCAGAGCAATTTAAATTTTATATTTTAATATAATAGGTGTCTAATAGTTAAATTGTATTCAAATAATATTTTAAATACCTACTAATATGTTATAATATTATAAAAGAAAAATTTGAAGTACCTATAATAAAAAATTAGTTATATAATTATTAATTACTAATGAAAAAATGTTTTAACACGATTATGTACACTTCAGAATTTTAATTGCATATTTTTAAGTGTTAGCTATACAAAAATTCGGTCTTTAGTAATAAAGTCACATCAAATATTTTTCAAAAATAATATAAACTGATATTGTTAATTTTATTTACGAAAAAATTGCATATGCTAAATAATATGACACATTTCTTATAAATAGAACAATTTTAACCAAAAGAAAAATGTATTTTATTTTTTTTTTTTTTTAATTTTTCAATAATAATTAATCAAATAAAATCATTTTTAATACTTACCATTAAATATGTTTGCATTAGTCATTAAAAATAAACCCGCGATGAACCATATAGAGAACACTAAGCACATTTTGTATTCTATTTATTTTGAGTGAATTTTAAAAATTTTAATTGTAAAAGACTATTACAGTTGTACGATTACAACTTTTATTGTAGGTAGTGTAAGAAATAAACTGAAATATATTTTGGGTTCACAAATCCTTTTATACTCTAAGAAGTACATCTCCTTGACAAAACAAAACAATCAATTCTAATTTGTACTGGAAAAAAACAATGGGATCAGAAATACTAGAACGAACACAATCAATTTTTATTTTCTCAGAACATTACTCTTCTTTGGAGACTTTAATTTCATCATTTATTTGACCCTTTTCCGATGTTTATTTAAATAATGTTCTTTTGTATTTATTTATTACGTATTATTATTAGAGGATTTAAAAATAGTATTGTAAAATAAATTTTAATGTTTTGTTATTGATTATATTATGAACATAAAATGTAACAATTATTTATTATGATTCACATGTTCAAATTAGTTTTGACACAAATATCAATTAAACCTAAAAAATATAGCTACCTTGATGCTGATTTAATAAACTAAAAAAATATATTACTCAATTAATAATTTTAATGCATATAGAAAACAAAAACAGTCCTATGGTTCTACGCATCAACAACTATAAAAAATTAGATGTTTTGTTTAAACAACCCAAAGTTATATTTTTTAACATTATCAAAATTGTCTAGTGAGAAAATATAAGTAGGTACTTAACATAATTTAGCTTATTTGAAATTGAAAAATCGGGAATACTTTATAGATGTCATACAGCAGTCAGTAATAATAGTATGTGGTTTCAGATCAAATTCTACTTTTTCAGTTCAATAATTGGTTATCTGTTACGCTCGTGTAATCTGAGTCTTGAGACTTCCGATAAAGAGAAACGCAGAACATTATTTTTCATATCTTTTGTTTTCGAATAGACATTTTAATATTATGTGTGGTGAATCACTAACATAATGTTCTAAATTTAAGTTTAATGTAAATTTGTTTAGTAATTTTTGTACTTCCTATATTATATGACATGTAGCACATGCATTTTATTATTATACAGACTAAAGGTTACATCAAAGGAGTAAATTATTTTTTAATCAATAATTACCACCTGTACATAAAGTATTGTAAATACAAATCTTATCAAATATTTAATTATAGTATTATGTAATTTTGATTATAAAAATCAGTTCAATTATTTTACGTAGATATTGATACGAAAATATGTAAAATGTTAGATTTCAGTACGAAATAAATTTAACATATTTTAACCGTTTGAATAGATTACGTTTCACCACTGTTATTTAATTTTTAAATTACTTTAATTCATCATTGTTTATTTCACATTAATAGCACCTACCTATTTATTGTGTATGTTGCATGAACATTATATTATAATCACATGCGTGAAACCCTATTTTTTGGTACGAGCTTCATTCAAAATATTTCTGTAGATAGGTACTTTTTTCTTTTTTTCTTTTTTTTTTGTATTTGTTAGATTAAAAGCAATACGTGTATAAGAAAAAAAACGTTGATTAATTTACCCCAGAAAGCATAACTCTTGTTGGGGCAAATGAGTCACAAAATCATAAATAAAATATACTAACAATGAATGCAATAATATTACATTTTCTTAATTCTATACATTACAAACAGTTAAATTTAACATTAACATCACTGTTACACAAAATCATTTAATAACCAAATTGTAACAGTTCTTTTAATGTACATATACTTACACATTAAAGTGAAGCTAGAAATATTTCTCTTTATTTTCAAAGGCAAATAGTTATACATAACAGGTAATTAACAAACACCTCTGACCAAATTGTTTATTAGTAAACCATACACTACTATCATATGCTTTAAACTCTCTTTTAGTTTTATTTTTTATTATAGGTATTTTGGAGACATTTTTAAAATTGCAAATAGATAGAATAAAGAGCTCTAACTGGTAAAACGTTTTTTTTTTTTTTGGCTATCATGTTGACATAATATGACAACAGTAGGTCGCCATCACTTTTTTGTCCTTAATTTAATATTTAGTCTGTGCCTACATTTCAACTTGACTGCTGATTTCGTACTTATCTTTTACGACCGTGTTGCCGAATACACTGGCTTGATTTCGATCATCCGAGTTATTTATCTGTAGACAATGATTATCGATTGAAGATTACAATGGAACTTTTTTCGAGCGTACGATATTTAAATAGGTAATTGATACAATCGTGAAAACCGATTCAAAGGCGGAGTTAATTATTATTGCGTATCGTCTAGTATTGAAAGGCGACAAATTTTGATATGGCGGGGAGGGGGAGGGGGAGATTCGATTCGCATAATAAATTCATTTTTCTCGGGCACGGTCCGGACTTAATCTTAGTCTGGCCCATGCCGCCCGCGTGTGTGTCGTGGGCACCGGGCTCGCCGTAACAGAAATCAACGGCGAGTCCGGGTATCGCGTTACCCCGTGCCGGTGATTTATGAACGTCGAAACGGGCGACCCGCGCCGGGACGACGACAACAATAATAATAATAATGATAACGCGTCCGTTCCCGGTGTCTGGTGGCGCGGCGCGTATACGCGCGCGCCGTCCTGCCCACGCGAAAACGGTCGCGACGCGAAAACAATAAAGCGCGGATTTACACGGGTCGTCCGGGCCGAAAGCCCCGGTGGCGCTACGTCCGCGATTAGTCATTGTTAAGTTTCCGGCGGTGACGTTGCACGCCGCGCGCGTACCCGTCCACCCATACACGTACACGCGATCGGACAGGAGCGGCGCGCGCGGATCCCGATGAAAATATATGCGCCCGGCGATATTGGTACGCCGCGTACAGCCGTTGTCGTGCGTGCGCAGCCCCCGCGGACGGTGACAATAAAACGCGCGTGCACGGCGCCGGCGGAAACAATTACGGCCGTCGCGTACGAACGTATCGAACGTCCCCGGCGGGCGGAATCGCTCGGGAAACCAAATGGAGATTGATCGCTGTCGTTTGTGGGCCGATCGCGACGCGTCCGCGCAGGTCCCCGGAGGCGGTCGCCGCTCGTCATTTCGCGGCGGTCACTGTTCGGCACCGTGTAATAATAACATGCGAATCGGTAACGGGCGCCGTACAAAGGTCCACGCGTAAAACGTAAAAACGTAAAGCCCACGCCGCCGATCGGCGGTGGGCCGGAGGGGGGGGGCGCCACTGTCGCGGCGGGCGCAAAGTCTGCGAAGTGCGGGGTAATTCGATTGGATTTATGCCAGCGACCGACCGTCGCCAACGAAAACCGATTCTGATCGGAGCGCGATGAATATAGGTACATTGATTCGAAAGCCCCGTATTATTTCGACGGTTCTCTACAACCGATTGGTTATAAAAATGACAGAAACACTGCGTTGCATTTTTTTTTCAAACGATAATAATAGTGTCTACATGGTATAGACGCAGAGCACCTGCAAAATAAAAACTAGAAAATGTAAACTGCCTATAAATAGTTCGAAAATGTTTCCGGAACATTTTCAAAAATAATACCGCTCCTAGAAAAAGCCAATATAAGATTTTACACGGGGCTCTGTCACTTGGTACTCGGCTAGGAGTGACGTGACAAGGTGGGGCGGGTGCTCGTGGAAACCACGACGTAATATAATTAATAAATGCATTTATTATCTGTGGGAAGAATGAGTCCGCTGCCCGCTGCTGATGGGATACAAAAAATTGTATCCATTTACAGTTTAGTTTTGAATATCGCCTGTGAACTGTGTATTTACCTACTACTACTACTACTACTCAATATCGTGCTAGGTAGAGAACAGCGCGGTCCCGTGAAAATGGGACCGGACCAAACTAAATGTTTAAGACAATTTGTTTGACCGGATTAGAACGATTCCCAAAATATATTTTTCAATTCGGATTATATATTTATAGAAAAAAAAAAAACCAACCCGGACCAGGACGAATATGGTGATTCATAGAACCCGAACCGGATCGTCAACAAATTAATTAGAAACCAAATAAAAACATGTCGTTTAATTCATTAATCGTCAAATTAAGTATTAATCAGTATTATATATTTTAATATTAATTTTACCTAGATCGTGTCAATTGTCTACTCGGTTCACGCATAGTTAAATAGTTTCCAAGTTAAAATATTACCACTCGAGCCCATAAATAACTGGGTGCAAACGTTTTAAACATGCGCGTTTCACAGTGTTATTCGTAGGTATAACGTATTAAATTCGACAGTATACTGCGTTTATTTTTATAATTTCCTGTTTTGATGGAAAACGATGTTTAATAAACGATAAGACATGACGAGTGAAACGGCCGTGTTTCAAGAGTATACGAACACGTGCTATTTATAAATAATTAGAAAAAAAAAATTGACAAACAATAATACCTTTCCAACTATAATACCCAGGCCGAACACCAGGAGGCCAATGGCCAAAAGACCGGACCGGACCACTCCAGTACTCCGTGACGGATTTAGCGTCAGGGAAACTAGGCAGTTGCCTAGGGCGGCAATTTTACGCCGATATTTTATTGAGAACACTAGTTTTTTACTACTTTTTTTTTAGATTTTTTAAGGTAATTTGTAATCTATACAATTGAAAGAAACTACCTATCTATAGTTTATAGTAACACATTTTCATAATCCAAAAGTTAAATTCATTATTTACATATTTATCAAATGTTGGCTATTACACACCACGTGTACAAAAATTCAACTTTTTCTATCCGAAAGATACAATTGTAATAATATTCGTCTTCGTGACTATGAAATAGAGCGCGGCTGAGTAGAGAATAGGTATTATCCACGTGTTTATTCTGATTAGACATTGGATTATTTTCAACACAACTTTCAAGCCGGATAGACTTAATATTCGGACATTATTGATGAGTAAACGCTATATTTTATAAACAATATTCGTTTGTTTAGAACAGTTTATATGATTTCTTTGTTTTAGTGTTTATGTCGAATAAGTACTTAAAAAATCGTTTACTCATTGAGAAGTTTAATGGGGCGACAAAATTTACCTTGGGGCGGCAAGATTGTGTAAATCCGTCGCTGTCCGTGATATTAAAAACATACTATTGTTTGAACCAAATCTAACCGATTATGACTATCCCAGACCCGAGCACCTAAACCGAAAATAAAAAAAGCATGTTGACCGGACCCGGTTCCCGGTCCGGTCCGAGGTGGACCCTGGACCGGGCTGGTCTCTAGTGCTAGGTAAAACAATATTTTATAATATTATCGACAATTACTGTTTTCTATAGGTTAGCAATTGGTACCGAGATTCGGTATCGGTTAAGACTTTCATCAAATTTGCATACGAAAATGAAAAAACGTTGTTCGAAGTCTACTCCCCCTCACCGTATGTAGTATATCGGAAGTCACCCCAATTTCGCGGTACGTTCTTTACATCCGAATTGGGTCCCGATGAATTTTGAGTACTGTACCGTTGGTTTGATCCCCCGGCTTTCGGTAGATAGGTAATAATAATAATAATAATAATAATACACTATTAAATTACTATAACTACTACTACTACTGCTAGTCGGGTCCGAACGTCTATAAACAATGCGAAACATTTCCCTTCTTATTTCTAACAGACTTTTGGACGTAGGATCTATTTCGCCGGTGATTTTTTTTTTTTTCTGTCATTTTATCCTTTATAATATATATTTGATAATTTTCTTCTATTTGTCAAATACAATTTTGTTTCGTTTTTTTTCTAAGCTTCTTATTTTAATGTAGGTATTTATTCGGGTACTGTTTTTAAAACTTCCATCAACCGGTTAGATATTAGATATTAGGATGGATGTACTATTATGTAACGTTTTATTTGTTTTCTATACGATTCTATTCAACGATTTAATATGCCGATTAAACGGTTTTTTAATGTATATTAGGTGGTCAGGTTTCCTAGACAGATAAAATATAAAAGTAATTAAAAATATTTTTTTTTTTTTTCTTTTCGACTGTCGGGATTTTGAACTAAAATAACGGTCAATGACCACGTCATGCTCGTCCCCCTCCCCTTGCTAACGAATAATTACAGTGACTGTAGTGTGTATCATATAGAATAACACGAATTAACATTGATTTAATGTTTAGAACAGAGCTGATCGTTGACCGACAACATGCGGTAATAATATTACACTGCAACGTTAACCGGATGTGTCTACAGGATGTCTTTCGCTTCCGATTTCCGGGCAACGGATAATAATATTTACTGAATCGGCGGCTCGAGCGTGGATACCAAACGGCTAATAAAATATATTCAAATATACTTAGGTACCTACATACTACTGGAGTAAATTGAGAATATTTCAAGTTATTTAACCACTGCATGTATAGGTATGCTTATGAACTACCGGTATTATAAGTATAAAGCTAAAAATGGTCCCCGGAGCGTCCACTTCTCTGGCCTTCCAGACTCCATTTCAGTAGGTACCTCTAATTCGTTTTCACCGAAACAATAATTAATTCGATTCGATTAGATCGCCTCAAAAACCATGTTAATAATTGATTAACATTAACTTCTAGTGCCATACCCGTCGGGGGCGCGGCTAAAGGTGCTCAGACGGTTCAATCCTCTATTGGCTGTGGTTGTATTAAATGCAAAATAATATTGTATGGATTTAAACTAATTAACATTGAAAACGTATTGCCGACTGATACTGATGAAAAAATAATTGCACGTTCGCGCTAACTATTCAACTGAGCACGTAGGTACCCACTAACTACAATAATTGTACATTTTGCAAAACATTTATTTTGTTTTTGTTTTTCAGTTACCTACGCCCCCACATTAAAATATCCGGGATGCCTACGCCGCGGTTCCCTTCTATAGTATGCGAATTTCAAACCGATAAAATAGGTATTCGACCCCACATTGTCGGGTAATTGCAGGTAAATAGGCGCGTATGATTTGTTCGTAAGTCGCAAAGCGGCAACTCGTATCATTTTAAATCTGACGATTTTCTATGATGTAAAAACGCTCAAGTTGTGAATCTGTGTACGTGCTCCGGTACACGGTACAGTGGTCGCAGCATTGCAGCAGCGAGCAGCCACGTTGCTGGTATTCCTTTATCTTCCCCTTCTTGATAATCATTATCGCGCTTGTTATCAGCTACGACTTCCATTAAGTCAATAACATTCAGTCGGTTTTGACAGGTCGGCGTGTTTCTGTTACGTTGATTTAAATAACGCAGAAAATTAGTTGTGTACTAGTATTTAGTATGGTGTTTAAACCAATTATTTTGTAAATCAGCAAAATAATATTGAAAAAAATTTTATTTTTATTTTGTTCACTAGGTATCTAAATATATCTACAGCCACAATCATGGTAAGTCAACTCGAGCGCACAGTCATCATTAACATTATATTTTATTCTTTTGCAAATTGCATGATTCTTTTCATTTACATTTTCAGAAAAAAATATTCCAGTCCATGACGTTAATATTAACGTTTTCTATTTGTTCAGAGACTGTACACGGAATGTCAAACTCCAAAGATCCAGTTATTGAAAAAGTATTAACACAACACAAATTGAACACTTTTTAAATTTATTTTTTTATTTTTTAATAAACTAAATCGTTTTATGCATATAGTTACAAACCCAACAGCAACATTTTAGAGGCGAAGAACACAATTCAAATTATGATCACGAAGCATTTCTCGGACAAGAAGCGGAGGAATTTGATAATTTGACACAAGAAGAAAGTCAAAGAAGACTAGGGTAATATCTAATTTTTGTTTAATGAATTTTCATTACCTACCATTAAGAAAAATGTTGTTTTGTAGTTTGATAGTTGATAAAATAGATAAAAATAATGATGGGTATGTGACACAAGAAGAATTAAAAGATTGGATCAAATTCACACAGAATCGTTACATAATGAACGATGTAACCAGCCAATGGGAAACCCACAAACCTATGGATAATGGAAAATTATCATGGGCATTATATAGAAAAAAAACATATGGGTATATGACTGGTAAGAATATTAATAATATCAAAATATTATATTTATAATACCTTTAGTAGGTATTTAATATTTTTGAAAATTGTTTTTTAGATGAAGAAGCAAAAGATGCACTGAATACTGATGATTCTTACACATATGCTAAAATGATATTAAGAGACAAAAGAAGGTGGAGTGCAGCTGATGTGGATGCCGATGGACTGTTGACTAAAAAAGAATTTATTTCGTTTTTACATCCCGAAGAAAGTGTTCATATGAAAGATATTATTATAGATGAAACAATGGATGATATGGATTCAGATAAAGATAATAAAATATCATTGAATGAATACATTGGTAATTCTATATTTATATAAATTTGTATTGAATTTTGTTTTTAACTTTTGTTTTAACCTATACTACCTATTTATTTTAATTATTAGCCGATTTGTATCCTGGATTAAATATAGCTGAAGAACCAGATATTATCATAAATGAAAAAGAACAATTTAAAACTTACAGAGATAAAGATGGCGACGGATTTTTAGATATTGCAGAGGTCAGTAATAATATTAAACTTGAGCTCGTTTTAGTTTAACAATTACCTTTATAATTATACAGTTTATTTGAATTTCAGGTTAAAGATTGGATATTACCTGATAATTTTGATCATGTCAATGCAGAAAGTAGACATCTTATTTATGAATCAGATTCTGATGCTGATGGCAAGCTAACAAAAGAAGAAATATTAGCAAAGTATGACCTTTTTGTTGGGTCTCAAGCAACTGATTTTGGAGAAGCTATATTGAAACACGATGAATTATAGAACAAGAATAGTTTTAAAACGAACAATTATATATTTTGAACTAGTACTAATATCTATGATATGTTATGTAATAAGTAGGGCTCAGATTTAAATGCAAAATGCATTTTTTTTTTTTTGTGTGTGATATTAAACAATGCTTTCCATGTACATAATTTGATTCATGTAAATAGAGATTTCAAAGGTGAAACTTTTGACTTTTTGCATTTTTCATTTTTGAAGCATTTTTTCCGTTTCATTGCATATTTGTACAATATATGCGTACATAACACGATCATCGATTAAATATATTATGTATATTTAATCTATGATATGACTTAACAATTTAAATTTAGTTAATTCAAATATTTTCCATGTTTTTCGGGTTTTCCAGTCTATCAGTCAAATACAGCCACTCAGTCAACACTATTGTCACTAATCATAAGTCAAACTGTTTAATATTCTGTTGTTTATTTATAAATAAAATAAGAATAATATAAATTACCAAATAAAACAATAAATTAAATAAATGTGTCATTTTTAAGGGCATTTTCAAGGTAAAATGCATTTTTAGCTTTTTGTGGAGCATTTTTTGATATTTTTTTTTGCATTTAAATCTGGTACCTAGTAATAAGTTATAAAAATATATTTTTTTAGTAAATTAACAATAAAATATTTTTATTTAATATAGATATATTAAAAATTAAGATCTGACTGAATTTAAATGCCAAAAATATTTTTCTTGTACATGATGTTATACTTTTACATTGTTTATTTACCTATACAGTTTAGTCATCTTTAATACTTATTTTAGAGTCTTTTATTCTGTTCATTTTTCAATTAGATCATTGAAAATTGATTTGTTTATTTTAGTGTAATACACTATGTATAAACTGAAAAAAAATTTGTTTTTATTTTTTTAACAATATACTATTCTAATTTATTTACCTGAAATTATTACATTAGGTTTAAAAACTTATTTTTTCATACGAACATAAAAATTATAGTAACTATTTATTAATAGTAAAATATTATCTATCTTAAATATAAGAATATGTATTTATTTATTTTTATTAAAATTATGTTATATAGTAAATAATTATTTTGAAGATTTTTACCAAATTGTAGTAAATTTAATCTATAGTAATACTAACATTTTTTTAAAATTCATTTATGTATTAAAAATAATTTTATGTACCCCTATGTATGAAAAAAAAAATATGTTTTATGAATATTAACTTACTAAATACCTATGTATGTGTATGTACTTATTAGATTTATAACTGTTTTTACTTTATATTTTTTCAGAATAAAAATTTATGTATTGTATAATTATAGTTATTTTTTAATTTTTAACTGGGAGTCAAATTATTATAGTAGATTCATATAAAATTCACAAAAATGAAGTAAGCCAATTATACATACAAAATAAAAATTCTTGTTTTAAATTTTTTAGATATAAAAGAAAAAATGTTATTTACCGGTTTTTTCATGTTATCATTTCATATCATTAATATAGGATTTCTTTCAAATTGATAAGATTTATCACGTTTTCGGCTTTTCATTATTATTTAAATTATATTACTTATCTATGATATTTAATATCAATAGGTATCTTGTTTTGTTAAAATTTATAAGTTGGAAATTATAAAATGATTCGACTTTTGGAGGACGTTACATAAAAATTCTGAGTCATTAATTAATCACTATTTTCTATATAACCTTCCCATATGAGAACTACATTTAAATTGGTACCATTATGCCGCCTGTAAATTTCAGTGGTCCTGCGGAGATACTGAGAGCCGCACAAAAGGATGAAGAAATTTGTGAACGCATTAATCAACAACTAATAGAATTTCTTCTCAAGTACAAAGGTATTTATTCAAAATATTGTTTGTTATTACTTATTCCATATTCAGCTAGTTGAAAGTAATAAATAATGGTTTTAGGACATATATTTATAAACAAAAACAAACAGTACATACTTCAAATCTCACAAACATTATACTATGCACTCACAACATTATCTAAGCTTCAATCATTGGGTGAAGAGTATACAAGAATCATTCAAGTTAGAAAAACAGGTAGACATATCCCAGGATTTTTGGTAATTATATTCTAAATATGTGAAAACAGAATTTTATGTTCATGTGTTACCATTATTTACAGCGTAGTATGGGCATGATATCCGTTCACATATTTGGAGACCACCTTATCGTGTTAGCTTTAAAACATTTTATTGATTATGTTCGGGACAATAAATCAATTACTCCACAAGCCAAAGATCAAATTATTTACTTTATGACAACCATTAAATCTCTAATTCCATTGTTTCAAAGTCTTAACAGAGTATTATTCTATTGGAATGGTTCCTTTTATACATTGGCAAAACGGTTTTTCAATATTAGATATGTAAGTAATTAATCGTATAACACCTAAGTATGTGTTGTCTACAATTTTTAAATAACTTTTTTTCGTTTAAGATTTATGCTGTTCCGTGGTATCATCCTAAGCGGCCATTGCATGTGTTTAAAATTCTTAGTGTTTTGACTGCCGTCCATTTGAATATACTCATGCTCATGGCTCTGTTTAAAAAACGAAATGTACAAAATACCGTTGAAGAACATACTGATAAATCAATTCCATCGAATAGTAGTAAGTGTCCACTATGTTTAGACTCAAGACAACATACTTCTCTTACGTTCTGTGGACATTTGTTTTGTTGGTGTTGTATACATGAATGGTTACAGACTAAAAACTTTTGTCCAATATGCCAAAAAACTTTAAATTCTAGAAATATAATAGCATTACAAAATTTTATGTAGGTAAATGAAAACTGTCATCAAAGTCTATATTAATTTATTCTAATAATTTTAAATAGGTAGGTGAATTATAAATTGTTTTAATTTGTACAACATACCTATTAGGTGATAAGTAATTTAATTATACTTTTGGTTAAAATGGTTGTTTGAAAATGGTTGGTAAAATGTATGTTTAAAGGAATTATAAAATAATTTTAAATTATTATAATCTCAAAAACAATTTTTTGATAATGGAAAAGAAGAAACGAATCAAATTGATTATGTATTATTACAATTATTTTTTTTTATATTATAATTAATTATAAATTAAGTTCTATTAAAAAATCTCATTACCAATGGTGTTAGCATAAAATGTATCCTATAATAATATATTATTGTTATTGTTGATTTTTTTCCATTTTTGTTGTTACATTAGCATCACCTCTAAATTCTTAAACCGTTTCATATACAGCTCAGATTAAGTAAAATAAGTAGTAGATTTACTTCCCTATCTTTATTATCTCCATCATAATTGAATTTGTATAAAAGTGGACTACCAATTGATTCTTTAGTAAAATTAACTCAAAATAAGGTATTTTATTAAAAATGATCTTCTTTAAGTACCACTCCAGCCAAATTTCCTTCGGGAAAAGTGCTACATTTGAAAATCTAAATAAAATGTATGGTAGAAAAGATTTTCACAGAAAAAAATAAACAAAATAAAATAAACATCATTGTAAAACCAATACATTCTTTGCTTCACTCAAAATCTAAAATAGGTATAATATTATACACATTTATTTGAGGTGTACAGTATATTAGTATATATTTTGATATACATTCAGGAATCAGTGGGAAAAAGAATGTTAAACAACTGGAAAATAAAATATAAACATAATTTATGTCTTATAAGTAATATAAGTATATATACATTTTTATCTTACAAGATTAATAATAATATTTAATACAATTTGAAATAACTACTAACTAATAAGTATATAAGTTGAATGAAAATAACAATCTACAAATATATTACATATAATAAATTATTAATTGTTTCTATTATATAGGTGAAACTAAAGAAAATAAAACAAAAAAAAAATGTTAATTACTAGGACATAGTCAATAGAAAAAGCATTAAATCACTCTTTATTTTCCAAATGTCTTTCTATTTTTTTTAAAAATTAATTAACAACATATAATTAAGAAAAACAAAAAAATTATTATATTACAAGAATCAACACTTTAGCATTTAACTAATATTAAGTTAAGAGAATTATCAGTGATTGTGCACAAATTCACCAGTGGCATTAATTTGTTCATACATAAGTAAATTAATAAAATGTTTGAGCCAATCGAGTAAGTTGATATGTTTGAATGTATGGTAGATAACTAAAAAGGATAGAATTTCACTTTCAAAAATGGTTTAAAGATCATATATACATAACCATAGAATTCAAATTTAAGCCTCTTTAGGATATCTAAATTAAAAATATAATCGTGAATTATTTATCTACAAAATGTTCAACATTATTATTAATTTAAGGGGATTGTAAATTAAAATTGTAATATGGCATAGAGCATGGAAAGTTTGTTTGTGGTTTCGATTGCTCGGAGTAATTTTTACAACCCATAAAATATATCATTCAATTTATTTTGCTGAATAGTCGCCCATAAATTATATAGAAATATAATAATAATAATAATAATATAGTACTGTGGCATGTGGATTTATATGAAATAAGAACAATCATATTTTAGTGACGGTTTGGTACCTAATTATACCTACTTAACATTACGTCACAGAGAATAAAATGTCTCAACTCTACTCAGACTCACAGATATGGTAATAGAATATAATATAGTATTTATAGATTGTAAACAAAATAAGAAAAATCGGTAGCAGTTGTGCACAATACCTAACCCGACAACTCACACTAACTTGCAGCGTGCACTCAAAAAAAATGTCTTTTTACTTTATACCGTGTGAAAAATACAAATATAAATACACCTAACATTTACTTGTGACGCAGTCTTAAAACAATAATTCTGACTGGGTACACCGTTGAATTATAATTACACTTAAGTACCTACCTATATTACACACAAAAATGAATCGTCTTTGTACAATGCAAAACTTAATATGTATTATAGGAGATAATTAAAAATGTCAATTATCTCACATAAATATTATAATACTTATACGGTATTCAGCATGTAATTGTTAATAATATTAATACCTGTTTAATCCTCGATAGTACCTATCCACAGCGAATATGCATACGATGTGTACAACTATACCTACTTACATTGTATCGTATTGTGTCGCGAACTTCCCCGTTATTTTTATTATTATTGTACCACTGTCGTTCTAATCCAATTTAGCGCCCATGCGTCTTAGGGCCAATATCGTGTTGGTCGCCCGAATCCATTGTTTTTTGATCACGTACCGTTTCAATTTGGTTTTACTCAACGGCTTCCGCTGTTCGGCCGTTTTCAGCCACTTGTGCTTGAGCGCCTCGGCCGCGGTCATCCTGGCCCTAGGCGAAACACGGGAACACAAAAAAAAAAAAAAAAACAAACTTAATAATTTATACGATTATTACGAGAAAAAAATGTCTAGTATATTATCATTTATTATATATACCTGTGCTGTATAATATTACTGTTCGGATAATACACGCGACACTCTTTCCTAAAACCACTTACCTGTAACGCATATCGTATTCGTGTTACTGAACTGGCAGCTCTTCGACAACGTTAAGCAAACGCAAATCAAAAGGGAGCAAAAAAAAAAAAAAAAGAAAAAAAAAATAAGCTTAATGTTCATTTGTAAATTATTTAAGGTATTAGTAAAAATATGTGAATATTAAACATCTTGTTAGGTATAGAGGTACCTATAAGTATTCGTTACGTCGTAAGCCATAATCTCGGTGTCGGAGCTTCGTACCTACGTCGGTTTTATCTAAAGGACGTGTCCCAAGACGCACACCCCTTTTTGTACACGTATATTTTATACCCACAAAAGTGAATATATCTTTCGACACCCTGTGTCTATACTCAATACCGATTCGTGTGACGATGACGGTCAACGAAGAACCTTCAATTGGATTAATCAAATGCGATTGCTGATTAATACATTGTAGAAGAAACGTGGGTAGGTACGAATACTGCAGTTAAGAACGCGACAAACTCTTTCGTACAGTGTTGGTTGACTATACGTAATGCTGAAGGAGTTAAACGTAATTAAAATTTTTTTTCCAAAAAAGTACCCACTAATTTTGTTGCCCGACAATTTAAACTGGTACGGTTAGACAAATAAATTAACACCTTGCATATATATATATACTAAAATAAGAAAAGTAATACATATTATCGACTTTTTTTTTTTTTTTTATACAGACATATATTATGATAAACAGAAATGTTTAACAAATAAAATATCATGTTCGTTTATTGATTTTTTTTTTTAATATTGGTACTTAAATCTAAATAAAATATATATAGGTACTTATAAATTCTATACTATACCTAATACCTATTCAAAGGGATTCAAATTTTAAACAAAATTTATATCCCGTTGTTATCAATTATATTATATTAATCCTATATTGAGCCAAAACATTATATTTGTATAGTAATTATTTTAATAAAATATAAATTATAATGATAATTAGTAAACGTGTAATAAACACTTGTTCGGTTTAAAATAACAAGCTTGTACAGTCGTCGTGATAAAACTTAGGTACCTAGGTACAGTGTTGACTAATTGACTAAAACTAAAATGTAACTTTGGTACACAAAATATAAGATTTATAATAAAAGAATAGCTCCTAATAAACCGGAGAGTGGGTACTTACCTATATATTATAGAATATTATAATAATTGAATAGAAAAAAAAAAAAAAAAAAAGGAATTCTCTTAAAAATCGATACGTTAAGTCGCACAGAAAAAAAAAACGTATAAAGTTATATAAAAAAAGTTGTACGCGATAACTCGGAGGATATAAGTATATCAGAATAATGTATAACACAGCAGTATAAGAAAGGGATTGGTAACTCAAAAATATTTATGTTGTAAAAGAATAAAAAAATATATATTGCGTGCAACGACAAAACCCAATAGTATAGATATTTATTATAGTGCAATGTAGTGCATGCGGGACCGTATTCGGGGTCGGTGGTTCCAGGACCCGAAACGGGTACTTTTGGAAATCAATAATTAAACAGAGGTTTTTCGGAGAAAATATGAACAATTCATTTTAAACGTTTGAGACAAAATTCACTGTAGCTAAATAAAGACCGTTCTGCAGCGGCGGATTTTCAACATTTTTTCCGGAGAGTCTTTAAAAATCATAAACGTAATTGAAATCAGTGTCGAATCCAAGGGTACTCCAGAGAGAGGAGCTGGAACTTTATTCAACAAAATGTTTTTATTAAATACGTACGCTACTCTTTACTTTTTCAAATTTACATCGACGAAAAACCGAGCCCTCCCCAGAGAAATTTTCCGGATTCAACACTGTATCAGAGGTATCGTCGTTATCCGTGGGTGGGGGGTCCAGACCCCCTGTAAATCCGCCACTGCCGTTCAGACATATCTTGCGCGATCCTTCGTCGATTTAAATTGTACATGGGTGTCCCACGTACCCGCGGGTTCTCCGTAGTTTTGGCGGGTAAACGGGCGATTTTTTTCCGCATATTGAAAAGTGACGATAATAATGAACGAAACGAACAGCGACGCGTATGAAAACGTTATAGTATATTAGGTACCTAAGCCGAAGACGGGTAAGCGACACGTCATACCTACGGGAAGCATGGGACGGCGTTCGCGGTATAGAATATAATATTATATTATAATAGACGTTAGACACCGGGTATACGACGGGCGACCGCGGAACGCCGGCCGCAGGCGGCATCAGGCAGACACGTTGGGTTCGGCGGGCTTGTTGTTATCGGCGCCGTAGAACAACTTGAGCAACATTTCCTTGGTGGACGACGAATAATCGTGTTCCGGCGACGCGCGCTTGCTGTGCGGCGCCGACCGGCACGACGGCGACGCGGCGGCGGTCATGTAATATAACAGGTTGCTGGCGGGCGGCGGTGACCCGACCGGCACGTCGCGGTTCATCGGCGACAACTTGTACTTGGGCTTGCGGTCGGCCACCGCGGCGGTCAGCTGCTGCCGGTTCAGCAGCAGCCTGTGCAGATTGCTGCTGACTTCCGCGGGCGGACCGCGTTCGCCGGCGGCGGCGGCGGCGGCGGCGTGGTCCTCGAACATGGTCAGCTGCAGGTCTTGCAGCCGTTCCGAGAGGCCCCGCAGGTCCGATCCTAAAAGGTTGGACGACATGGTGGCGGTGGCCCGGAAGCTCGACAACATGTACGACACGTCCGAGGACCGGCGGTAACTGCTGCAGAAACCGTTGTTGGTCGTCGTCTGCTGCAGTGTCGTCTGCAGATGTTGCGACCACACGGTCGTCCG